ATATTTGATGCTCTGTCCTCACATTGGCTCATTATGCTGTATATACTTTCAATAGAATTTTTAATCTCCTGGATAGCTGTTAGAATCTGTTTCATAGATTCCATTTCTTTCCCGTGTTTTGCATTCATGGTTTCTACCCTTTTCCTAAATGCCTCTATTTTTTAAATCATACCTGCTCTAGAGTCACTAATCATGTCTTTCATTATAGTCACCATCTCTGTAGTTATCTCAGAAATTCTTTTAAAAAATTTTTTTTAATGTATTTGGTACAGGGTCTCACTAAGCTCAAACTCATAGTGGTCCTCCTGTTTTCAGCCTCCCAAGCACTGGGATTACAGGCATGCACCACCACGCCCAGTCTCAATCACTGTCTCGTTGCATCCTGGGGGATCAAACCCAGGTCCCTGTGTCTGCCCAAGCAGGCACTTTAATCTGCTGAGCTATCTGGCTGGCCCTGAGAAATTATTTCTGATTTGATTTGTTTTTGTATAGCGTCGTTCATCCACTTTGTTACTACCACTTTAGGGAGTCTAGATGAATAGCTTTCAGATTGTTCCACGTCACTGCTCCCTGGGTTTGCCTTTCATGAGCTGAAAGTCTGGGGTTGAATCTTGCTTAAATGTCTTCTCATTTCTTTCTATCTAGTTTGATTCCTGGCTTGATGCTTATAATTGTTATAGCAGAAAGCTTTCTTGCTGGTTTTAGAACCCTTAAAAAAGGACTGTATCACAACACTATCTTCCAGTTGTAGCTGGCTTATGGGTTTTGAGTCTGTTGCAAGATCCTGTCTCTATTTATTGGGGAGGAGAAGCTGCTGCCTGTTTAGCCTGGCTCCTAGTTTTTTAGCACTGGCCTATATTATGGAATACCAAGAACAACTGATTAGAACATTTATGTCACCTTAGCTAAAGTAGTACAATCAGCAATAACAACGGTGTCAAACACAGCCTAGAGAATGGCAAACTGTGATGACTATTAATTTGCCACCTTTAATTATATGAACTATATTTGTGGTTATGTAACAAAATCTAAAACAAATCAGAAAGTAATATATAGTAAGTATGACCTCAACATGGCAATTTTACCCTTGGGAGAAAATTTAAGAGAGATTTAGGGAGGGGAATAGAGAAATACAAGAAGAGGGAGATTAGAATCAAGGCTGCAGTGGGGCCAGCAAGATAGCTCAGTGGTCTAAAGCACCTGATTAGGCAAGCTTGTGCAAACTCAAAGGCTGTGGTTCAATCCCCAACACTACATGCCATGCCAGCCCTGTCCCCTGGGCTGGCTGAGCCAGCCACACACACAAAAAAAAGCCTGGAGGGTAAAGAAAAAATTATGTAAACTGGTAAAGAAGACAAGAGAGAAAGAGAAAAGGTAGAAATAAAACAAGAACAGAGCAGAACAGCAATGATACGAAAATTAGAAACAATGTTCTATTCATACAAAAAGAAAAAAAAACTAAAGAAGAAAATATCCATTTCAGGACATGTCTCTGCTGTCACTGGTAGACAAAGGGAGCAGGCAGACCCCAGATCCATGTTGATTAATCTCAGAAAATCAGCTATAGATTTACTTTGGATTACTCAATAATCACAGCGGCCTGTGCCTTTAGTTCGACTGAAGTCCAGGCTGGTTTCTGGCTGTGAGGCTGGAACCTGATTTGTTCAGCCTGCAATACTCCATGCAACTCCTGATGGCCTGAACTCAGCTCATGGATCTCCTGCCAGTTGAATTCAGTTCCGTGTCACCCTGACACAGGGAGCTGGTAATGGAGCCAGTCTGCAGTTGCTCTGAGTTCCCACTTAGTTGGCCTCTGAAAGGCCTAAACAAGAGGTTTACAAGTTTGAGCCCAGCCTGTGCAATTTAATAACTTAGTGAGATTCTATTTAAAACAAAAATGGCTGTGGATGCAGCTTAGCGTGAAAGCCCTGAGTTCAATCTCTAGTTAAACAAAAGCAAAATTAAAAACATTCTTGTCTTCTCAGCAATTTTATTATTATGTACCAATGGGTAGTTTTATTTAAAAATTATTTGTTGCTCTTGAATCTGTGGTTTATTGTCTCTTTCAGTCTTAACAATTTCTTACCCATTATCGGTGGAAATACTTTCTGCCTTATTTTTCTTTGTGAAGCTCTGAGTAGATGCTCTACATTTTCATTATGTCCAGTATCTCAGTACTTTTATTTTCTTCTTTTCCTCTATGTTCCTCTCTAGATATTTTTTGCTGAGCCATCCTCCAGTGTACCAGTTCTCCTTATAGCTATGTCTGATTTTAAGTTAACTTGTAGAATTCTTTAACTTCTGAAACCCTATTTTTTAGGTCTAGTTTTTTGAAATATGCTTATCTCAAATGGCCAGTAATGTTAAACAGTTTAAAAATATTTTCTATTGTTTGTATACTTCATCTGAGAAGTATGTAGTCATCTCAGATGCCCATTTTTGGATTGGGTCTTTAAATTTGGGGTGTCTGATTTTTTTTTTTTTTTAGTTCTTTATATTTGAGTTCTTTATATTTTATTTTGTTTGAGTTATTTCTCTAATTTTCATTTGGCTCTTTTCCTATCAATTCTGGTTCTTGAAAAAAATCTCTTATCATGTGATCTGTTTTCTTTTTTCTTTTCTTTTCTTTTTTTATTTTGGCAGAACTGGGGATTGAACTCAGGCCCTTGCGCTTGCCAGGGAAGCGCTTATTCCTTTCTTGACTTTATTAATCACTCTTATTTTCAAGTTTACATCTTACAGTGCCAATATCTGATCAGCTGTGGGTTTTTGTTGTTTTCTTCCATATTTTGAGTTACTTGTTCCTGTATGAGCAACCGTCCTAGCTTACCCTTAACTCTCCTGGCTTACGCATTTCAAGTGCTATATCCCAGGACGTTTCTCAGGACCAAGGAAATACAGATAGGCCGCCTTTAGGTCCTGATATACCTGGTAAGTTTTGATTGAACGTTGGACAGTATGTATAAAATTTGGGATAAATTGAGACTTAGAAAATTCCTTTACAGAGTTTACTAGTGTTTTGAAGGAGCAGTAAGAGTAAAGACAGATGGTCTTTACCCAGTCTGGGATTGAGCTCCTGTGGAACTAGACTTTACTGTTTGTTAGGCCATTGGCCTCATCTCATTGACTCTTACTTCTGGTAGGAAAATATTTGAGGGATCTCTTCTGAAAGTCTAGACATTCTCCAACCCCTATTCTGTGGTAAGGCAGGACTTTTTTCTTTCATGGTGGTATTTACTCCTGAGCTTCTCAGTGTCTCAGCTACAAGTTCCAATTCAACAAAATGGAAAGGCAGCATCTAGTATTGCTTTCCAACCAGAGGCCCTTTTCTCTGGGAGCTTAGTTTCCTGAGTTCTGCATGCTGCCCTGGCCTTGGTCCCTGCCCCACTGCTAGACACTGTGCTCAGCTTCTGAGTCTCTCAGCTCTTACATTGCATGTCTCCTCAATTCTGCAGCCTTGTGCTCTTGCACATACACAAAAGCCTCAGAGGGAAAAGCAGCACAGAGCAGCAGGGTCACCCCAGAGGGCTTCTTTCCTCTCTCTAGTTTCTTGAACCCTTATGTCCGGGCTGTCTTGGGAGCTCCACACTGTGACAGAACAGTTTAACTGTTTAACTCATTCAGCTTACTCATTGTTCTTGGCACAAAAGTTAGCATAGAACTTACAAAAGCTAAAGTGAAGTCCTAAGAAGAATACTGTCTGAGCAGAATTCTTCAGCTCCGCCATTCATCCACCTTGTTCTGTGTAGCTCACTTCTTTCACCAGCCTCCTCTACCCATTCTTTCCAGTCTTCACTTTCTGTACCTCATTCATTCATGCTGCCTGACCATCCCATGTGGTCTTGAGTGCAGTTTTAAAGTTTTTTTCCATGCAGCAGTCATGTAGTATTGGAAGATGACACTTTTCAAAGCCAGCAACCAGGTGTGGCAAAGCTGGGTATATGCTTGGCATTGATTACTCAGATACAGTTCCTCTGAGGAGTTATTGGTTTGTTTTTTTAAATGATTCTTTTTCTAAAAAAAAAAATTATTTTATTTGGAGTAGGGTCTTGCTATGCATCTTGGACTCATAGTGATCCTCCTGTCTCAGCCTCCCCAGCACTGGCATTACTGGCGTGTCCACTGGCTCAGCATGTGGTACAGGGGATCAAACCCGGGTCCTTGCTCTTGCCAGGCAGGTGCTTAGACCGCCAAGCTATCTCCACATCTCAGTTGGATTAAAAAAAAAAACTCTCTCTAGGGATTCTGAGTCTCTACCCTGAACCTTTGCTGGTGGTTTATAATGTGGAAGAACTGGAAGAAGTAAGTTAGGCTTCTCTTTTTCTATGAGGTCAGCATTGAGGCTGGTCATATGCAAATGATGGCAATGTTTAAGCAAACTTAATAGTGAAATTATTTCATCTTTTAGTCCCAGGCACCCTTACCTCTATCATCTGAGCTTAGAGTGCCTTGATTTATGATAGTAGTATTTCTTAGGTGCCCATACCGATATAAGCAAAATTGGTCATTACCTCTGACTGCACTACCTCCGTCCATTAGTCTATACCAAAACCCTATGAGACCGGGGTGATTACCCCCAGCTAGATTTTGACACTGCTAGTGGATTACAGAGCCAGCATTTGAATCCGTCTGATTCCCACTCTCAGACACTTACTTTGTACTCTGCTGTCCTGTCTTGAATACTATTCACTACTGAGAGTCATCCCGCAGAACTGCTTTGGAGATAATCCACTTCACCGAAAGGATCCATGCTAAAGAATGGCATTTCAGAAACTTTATTGTTAGACAAAGACTGTGTCTGGCAATACTGGGCTTTCTGAGGATTCCTCATTTCTGAGGATGCAATTATCTTGGCAAAGTACAAGCTGGTGTTTATTAATTTAATGTGAGTCAGGATGCATGCTCTTGGTGGATTATGATTTATTTGATATCTTGAAGTCATACTTGTAAAAATTATTAACTGTGAAACAATTTATTATATCTGTCATTCTTGATTTCAGGGAAGTATAATTAGCATTAACAGCACTTGCACAGAGATGGGTAATTTTGACAACGCTAATGTCACTGGAGAAATAGAATTTGCCATTCGTTATTGCTTCAAAACTCATTGTTTAGAAATACTCATCAAAACCTGTAAGAACCTTGCCTATGGAGAAGAAAAGAAGAAAAAGTGTAATCCGTGAGTTTTTAAAAATTTATTTTATTTATTTGGTACACAATCTCGCTGCTCAGCTCAGACTGGTAGTGATCCTCCTGTGTCAGCCTCCCCAGCACTGGGATTACAGACATGCATTACCACGCCTGGTTTCCCAGAGGAACATAGCATGCTTGGGGTTCTGGGGCTGGCACAGCATGTGGTACTGGGGATCGAACCCAGGTCCTTGTACTTACCAGGCAGGCACTTAGACCACTGAGCTAACTCCCCAGCCTTGTGGGTTTTTTAAAAACCTTGCATAAAATGGTAGATGTACTGATTTCAAAATTTATATGGAAGTGCAAAATTCAAAAAATGACCAAGACAATTATAAAAAAGAATGAAAAAATAGAAAAGATTTACTTCAACAATTATTTAGAAAGCTGTAGTAATTTGAATAATGTTATCAATGCAAGGATAGGCAAGTGGGTTAAAAGGACAAAAATCAAAAGGTCCAGCTACAGGGCTGGCCAAATAGCTCAGCGGATTAAAGCACTTGCAAACAGGCTCAGGGGCCAGGGGTTTGATCTCCAGGCCTGCTGTGCTGGCCCTGCCCCCAGGACATGCTGAAACACTGAGACTGGGCACGGTGGCATGTGCCTATAAAAGTACGTGCCCTGTAATCTCAGGTCTTGGGAGGCTGTAACCAGGCGGATCACTACAAGTCCAATCTAGTCGTGAGACCTTGAACACCCTGTAGACCCTTCCCTTAAAAAAAAACAAACAAACAAGGTCCAGCTACAGACCTTAGAATGTATGGGAGCTCTTATATGATCAGGGTGTGTTTTAGACCATTTAGGTTGCTGTAGAAGCAGACTACAGTGGGTGGCTTGGTATAGGTGCCTCCGAAGCGAGCTCTACACTTGGTGGTTCGTAAGCAACGCAGTAGAAGTCCCTTTCTCCCGCTTCTGTGAGGGCCAGTTTCTTGCTTCACAGCTGGCCGCCTGCTTCCGCCACCACACGGCGGTTGGGAGCCCGGCTGCTCTCTGAGATCTTTTTCATAAGGGCGCTAATTCCACTCATGCGGGCTGTCCTCTAACTTCCCAAAGGCCTCACTTCCAAGACCATCACACTGGGGGTGGGGTGGGGGGGTCATATAAATTTTAGAGGGACAAAAGCATTCAGTCTGTGGTAGGGGCTTTTACAAATCAGTGCGGGGGTAAAAGAGGATTTCATAAATGGTGTTGGAAATTTGGCTTTCCATACAGGAAAAACAAAATTGAAATCTCGCTTCACACAATTCATATATACATTAAATTTTTTCCCGCTGATATGGAATGATGAATGACCATCATTTAAATGTGCATCTCCCTGATTATTAGCAAGGATGATCAACTCTTTATGTGTGTGCTTTAGCTGCTTAGATTTCTCTTTCTGTTCGTATTTTTGGTCCATTTTACTATTGGTTTGTCAATTTTCTTATTTACAGGGAAATTTTGTGTGTGTATGTAATACTGGAAATTGAGCTGAGGGTGCCTACTACCACTGAGCTACATCTGCAGCCCATAGATATTTTTTTTTTAATCTATTGTTTTGTTTTGACAGGATCTCACTATGTAGTTCAGGCTGGCCTTGAACTCACAGTGAGTACCCTATCTCAGCTGTGGATTATATTTAAAGCCACACCTGGCTTTTTAGGGCCAGCAAGATAGCTCAGCAGGTTAAAGTGCCTGCAGACACAGAGACCAGGGTTCAATCCCCTGGTGTGCCATGCCGACCCCAGCCCCAGTGTGTGCTGAGACTGGGCATGGTGATGCACACCTATAATCCCAGCCCTCCGGAGGCTGAAAACAGGAGGATCACTATGAGTTCAATCTGTGTAGTGAGACCTTGTAGACCCTGTACTTAAATAAAAAAAAAATTCTGTTTTTCAAAGTTCTTTATGATTGTATGTATGTTACATATCTTACCTAGCTATTCCTTATTTTCTAATTTATTTGCAATGGCTTTGCTTGCAGAGAAACTAATAATATCGAATTTATGATAATCTTCCTTTACAATCTCTGCTTTTTGGGGCTGAGGGTGTAGCTCAGTGGTAGAGCACATGCTTAGCATGCACAAGTCGCTGAGGTCAACCCCTAGCACCAAAAACAAAAATACCAAAACCAAAAGTTCTGCATTGCATTTTTGTGGTGTAGAATCCCCATGCCAAATGAAGATTATGAATACAACCTTCTCTATTTTCTTCAAACGTATATGTGTTTACTTCAGAACCTTTCCCATTAGAATTGGAGTGGATTTTCCATTCTAATGCAAGAGCCTTACTTTCCCCCTTTCTTTCCTACATGGAAAACTCTGAGTGCTCTGTTAATTGTGCTGTGGGGTGATGGCGGGGAGAGGACCTGGCTGCTGGTTCAGCAGATTTTTCTGCTCTGGCACTTCTCAGCAGTCTTGCAATGCCCCCCCCCCCACAAAAAAATTACACTGTATGGTTCTCCATAATAATCTCCTTTTTGGTTTTAAGTTTTATTATTCATCTACTTATGCCATATACAGGTACCTGAGGGAATCTGAAATAATTTTTGTTCCAGAAATGGTCACTTTTTCATCTCAAAATTTGAGGGGCTCAGTTAAAGCAGCATTCGTACTTACAGGTTAAACATCAGCCATTTAAGCCTCCACCTTGAAAGCCAGGAAAAGAAGAGCACGTTAGTCCTACAGAATGATGGCAATAGTAAAGATAAGCCATGAGTGAGGTAAGAAACTAGGCAGATAAACTGATTAACCCAAATTTCAAAAGGTACATAACGTTATAAACTCTGCTAAAATTATCAAGATAAAATATGGAAATACTCACATCAAAAATGAAAGAAGAAGAGCGGGGGATATAGCTCAGTGGCACAAGTGCCTGCCTGGAAAGTGCAAGGTCCCGAGTTCGACCTCTAGTACTGAAAAAAGAAAGAAAGAAAAAAAGAAAGAAAGAAAGAAAGAAAGAAAGAAAGAAAGAAAGAAAGAAAGAAGAGATGTTGTGGAAAAACTTACTAGACATTAAAGAATAATAGGCTATTATGTAAACCTTTATGTAAATAAGTGTAATAACTTAGATGAAATAGATAACATATCTTATATGTGTTACCAAAGTTTGACCTGAGATGAAATAGGAAACATGAATGGAGGGGCCGGGGAGATGGCTCAGTGGAATAAGCGCTTCCCTGGCAAACGTAAGGGCCTGAGTTCAATCCCCGGTTCTGCAAAAAAAGAAAAAAGAAAACATGAATGGTCCTATGTTATTTTTAAAGGGAGTAAGTTACTGATTTGGCATTATCTAGTAAAGTTGAAGATACCATTATAAACAATTCTATGTGATAGCACCTCTTTAAATGATGAGATATAAGGGGCCATTTCTGGAACAAAGATTATTAAAAATTCCTGAGGTACCTGTAGGTATAGCTCAAAGGTAGAGCATTTGCCTACCATGCACAAGGCCCTGGGTTTAAACTGCTGCCCCTGAGATCCCCTACACACACACACACACACACACACACACACACACACACACACACAAAAGGAGTGGGGGCCAGCGAGATAGCTTGGCGGCCTAAAGTGCCTGGTTAAGCAAGCAGCAGGGACCATGATTTGATCCCTGGCATTACATGCCGCGCCAGCCATGCACCCAGGGTGGGCTGAGCTGGCGGGGGGGCAGAGAGAGAGAGAGAGAGAGAGAGAGAGAGAGAGAGAGAGAGAGAGAGAGGAAGAGAAGAGAGAAGAGAGAGGAAAGAAAGAGATATATACCCTGTCATTTGTGCCTTGCATAGGTGCACCAGGAATAAGGGTAATGTTTGTGGCGGAATTATTTATAATAGAATAGCAAAGAGTATGACATAAGACAGAGGCTCCTCAGGAGGGTAGGGGATTCATGGTAGGCTTGGACAGTGGAGCTATACAAAGGAATATAAATGAGTTATGCTGCACGTAGTGATACGAATCTCAAACATTGGGTGAAAAAAGCAAGTTACAGAAAACTGTATATGAAGGGGCCAGGGAGATAGCTCAGTAGAATAAGGGTTGCCTGGCAAGCTCAAGGGCCTGAGTTCAATTCCCGGTTCTGCAAAAAAAAAGAAAACTGTATATGAGCAGTTTTATTTATATAAAAGTTCAAAAATAGGATCCTCAGCAGGGAAGAGTACAGTCTTTGAAGTTTCATGTAAAAGTAAAGTGCAAATCCTGAGCTTTCCATTTCCTCTTCATTCTTGTGGGACAGGGACAAGTGGATCATGGCTCCCTTGTTCAGGCTCAAGAATCTGATTCTGTGATGCTTATCAAGTGGCAGAGAAGGGGACACAGATTCCAGGGTTAGGGTAGGAGCAAGGCAGGGAACGCTTCACCTCTCCTTCCCCAGGAATATTCTAGAAGGATCACATGGCCATCATTGGCCAAGTCCTGTGAGTCAGAAACTGTACACCCAGCACTAATATTGCACATGTCAGTCTTGGTCACGAAGCTTTTGCTATCACTTCAGGATCTAGAGGGAGGGCCGGGGAGATGGCTCAGTAGAATAAGCACTTCCCTGGCAAGCGCAAGGGCCTGAGTTCAATCTCCAGTTCTGCAAAAAAAAAAAAAAAAGATCTAGAGGGAAGCAGTGTAAAGAACATGCTGATGTGTAACTTGTACCCCTGTAACCCTTGGGGTTGTTGGCCTCCAGCTGAGCTAGCACTTTGTCTTGCTGCATTTGACTACAGGTATGTAAAGACCTACCTGCTGCCTGACAAGTCCTCCCAGGGGAAGCGCAAGACTGGAGTCCAGAAGAACACTCTGGACCCAACCTTTCAGGAGACCTTGAAGGTACTTGCTGGACAAATATTCATGCACTGAGCCCTTCCCGTCCTGGGCTAGATGTCCTGGTCAGAGTCCAACAGGTGGTATTTTCAAACTCTTGAGTCGGTTAAATGTAAGAGCACCGGCTTAATACATTTCTTTGTGGCTCTGTCAATCAGTGGCAAATTGGCAGAAAATAGATTGCAGTCTTTGTACAGGAAAAATGCTTAGTCTGCTGGACTTGCAAATGGCTTTTGATTAATAATTTCTAAGAAAATGGGGAGGCAAGAACCTGGCTGCCTCGGTGGCTCAGGCTGACAACTAGGTGCAGAGTGATTTAAAACACTGATTTGTCTTGTTGCATTTGTATGAATATCACAGAGGCATGCTCAAACAAGGGCCCCTGAAAACAAAGTGGATGAGTCACTGTCTTTGTAGAAGTGCTGCTTTATTGTAATACGTGAAAAATCCAGGTTTCTTCATTTTTTATGGAAGAGTCGTCTTATGAACAAAGTCATAAAGGAATTGTTTGCTTTTTAAAACTTGCTTTGATGCTGAGAAGTGAGATTCTGGTTCAAAATGGAGCTGGGGCCTCACGCTCTGGGTTGGGTTGAAGAAGCAGAGTACGGCCTGGCAGGGGGAGGGCAGCGTTGGGAGCTGCAGCCAGAAGGGCAGCCAGGGTTGGGGGGTGCCCCCGTCGGAACTGGGCAGTCCAGAAATCCCACCATCTCATGCTGGCTGGGGATAGGAGAGGGCTTTGTTTGTCTTCCTTGGCAAATAAGGGTGTCTGTGAACTGCCAGCCAGGGGCCATCTGGGCGGCTGGCACGGAGCTCAGAGTTCATTAAATAATAATAGCCATTGTTTCCTGGGCCCCTGCTGGGCCAAGTGCTTTATATCCCTACTGGGGGAGACATTAGAATCCTCCTTTTCCAACAGGGAAACCGCAATGTAGAGTCTTAGAAGTTCTTAGCTTGAAGCCAGGATGGATGGGCGGCGCTGCTCGAGTTTCATCTGCATCTGTGTAGGAATCCCCTGGGAGATTTTAGAAGTTGCAGATTCTGACTCAGTGGGTGTGGGTGGGGCCTGAGATGCCTTGTTCCCACAAGCCCCACTGCATGCTGGGATGCCACCGACCTAGCCCAGCTGGGCCACAGACAGTCGCTTGCTGCAGCCTGGCCTGTGCTGCTTGTACCTGCTGGAAGAGTCTGGAAAACTCCAGTTGTGACAACACACATTTTAAGTTGATTTTCAAAAGTTACTCATCATATATTTAGAAAGGCACTTTTGTGTTAGAAGTTTTAGAAAGGAGGGTTGTTTTGGATAAATATTTAATTATATAGTTCAGTTTCTTAAACCTACTTTATCTAAATTGTGCATAGAATCTCAAAGCAATCATTTAAAATTATTTTTATCCGTGGGTTTTATCAAGTCTCCTGGGAAGAATTGTGTAATTCTGAGAAATTACATTTGAATTATGTCTCTAACCTAAATTCAAACCAGGGCTAGGGAGGTAGCTCAGTGGAATAAGTGCTTACCTGGCAAGTGCAAGGTCCTGAGTTCAATTCCTGGTACCACAAAAAAAAAAAAAAAAAAAGTAAATCTAAATTCAAAACATCCCAACACAGGTCAGACTTATCTTTTGGTATGTTTGTAATACCTAATAATTACACAATTACACTCACTTTATGGGGCCATTCATATATTCATATATATATATATATTGCTTTTTTCAGCTACACTAAGGATTGACTTCAAGGTCTTCACATTGAGCTACATTTCTCTCCCTCACTCCGTCTTTCCTTCCTTCTCCTTGTCTCTGTCTGTCTGTCTGTCTCTGTCTGTCTCTCTGTCTCTGTCTCTGTGTCTCTATCTGTGTGTCTGTCTGTCTGTCTGTCGGTCTGTCTGTGTCTTCTGTCTGTCTGTCTGTCTCTCCCCATTTGTTTTGAGACAGGATCTCATCATTTTGCTAAATTGCTCGGTCTGGGCTTAGAGATTTGATCCTCCTGCCTCAGTCTCCCAGAGTGCTGGGATTACAAGCATGTACCACCATGTCTGGCTTTTTTTAATTCTTAAAGAAATTCATGTAAGCCAATTTAGTGAGATCCTGGCACAGAAACAAAACCAACTGCTAGAGATGTAGCTCAATGATAGAGTGCTTGCTTAGCATGCACAAAACCCTGGGTCGAGTCCTCAGTACCAGAGGAAAACAAAAAAGGTTTATAGAAACCAGTATTTCAAAACACCTTTTGGTTTGGCACTCAGGAGGTTTGCACAGCCCTAGGGAGGCCATCAGGGGAAGATGGGCTAGGCCGTGACCTGCCCCTGGCCAGTTTTGAGAAAAGCGTTCATGAAATATGAGCGTCCAGACATGCAGCCCCCAAGTGTTCTGGGCACTGTGCTCCCTTGGGGACCTCTGGACTCCAGTGCACCCCCAACACCCCTGGGGGCCCTTGGAATGAGCCTGGGAGGGTGAACTGAGGCAGCAGGTATGTAAAGTTCTCTGCAGCACCTTCTGTACCAGACAGGGGGTGGGGTGGGGGTAGTGCAGGCTTGGGGCTCACATAACAGCGAAAAGTGAGTCTTCCTTGACATAACAAAACAGAGCAGGCCTATTTGTCGGCTAGGGGTGACCAGTTGGTGCAGACCCAAGAAGTGTGAGCGTCACAGGGAAGTCAGCAAGGGGCTGCCGGGTGAGAGCCAGCACAGTGGACATCAGGGCGCTGGCCCCAGGAGGACGACGTGGCGGGCGGCCCTGCCTGTGGCCTCACACACTTCCTGGGACAGCCTCACTTCTCAGACAGCAGCAGACACAGTGGTCTGGGCGTGCCTGACTGGACATGGATGTCATGGGGAGAAACAGGGTAGCTTAGCGCTTCCAGGGAGACTCAGAAATGGACCAGGGAGTGGAGGGAAGAGCTGTAAAACCATCCAGGGGTCTTGCAGAGGGAATGTGGCTCAGAACTCCTGACCTGTGGTCACAGCAAGACCTGCAGAAGAAAAGGGTGAGGCAACAGGCCTGGGATGGTACCTGCTGCCCTCTCCTTCCCTTTCGAGATGGAGAGAAGTTATCACCTTGCTAGGGACCTGGAGCAACAGATGCAGGAGAGGATATGAGACACAAGCAAACTAAACACTCCTCTGCTTTATGTGACTGTGCTTGTCTTCACCTCAGGACATGCGGGAGTGTCCCCAGGGGTCAAGATGCAAACCCCAGCAGACCTTGGGTGGAGTCGGCACAGGACAAAGGCCAGCAGGGAGAGCTCAGCAGATGACAAACACAGCAGTTAACAATGCTGGCCTGCCAGTCATAGCCTCCAAGCAGCAGCAGATAGTGCATTTGTAAGCTTCTGTGTTTTCAAGGCAAAATGGTGACTAAAAATATTGACCTCACAGGATGCTTGTGAAAGATAAAGATCAGCATGTATCTAAGATCTAGCTACAAAATGAGAGTTCAGTACCCTGTGACTTATGTTCATTATTAAGAAAATTCAACTGTTGGGTTTTAAAACATGGCCCTGAGCAGCTGAGGTGAAGCTGGCCAGCTGTGGGCCGGCCCTCAAGAAGGGCTGTGTGTCTCCAACACTCAGGGGCCTCTGGCCTGTGGTCTCCTGGGGGCAGGAAAATGCCCTTGGGAGGGGAAGGGGATTTTTCTGTCATTTTTGTCTATGCTGTGAGGGACAGTTTAATGCCAAAGTGCCAACTCAGGCCCAGCATGCCATTGTGTGTACTCGGGAAAACATTCTGGCTAAAGCTCATACTTTGTATGTTCATTTTCATTTTTATTGATTTTTACTTTTTTTTTTTTTTTCAGTACTGAGGATGGAACCCAGGGCCTCAGCTATACTAGATGAGAATTCTACCACTGAGCTACATCTCTCGCTCTAACATATTACATCTTTTAAAAATAAAGGCCCAACGTTTAACATTTTTGGATAAGCCTGGCTAGTGCAGTGTCGGCGGGATGCAAGTTCCCCCTTGGCAAATTCTCAGCTTGGTTTCTAGGCACCTTGGGCTGGATAAGGACTTTCACCCTGTGTGACTCTGAGACACAGGAGTGGCCTGAGGACTCGATGGCCATAAGGCATAGGGTATTTGGAGAGTGGGGTCTGCTGGCCCCGGGCTCCAAGTGGCTTAGCTTGGAGGGACCACACAGGTCCCTGGCTACAGCTAAATCTTGGGGATCGGCCCTGGGCATCCACTGACCATTTCCCTGTGTATCTCAGTATCAGGTGGACCCTGCCCAGCTGGTGAGCCGGCAGTTGCTGGTCTCCGTGTGGCACCTGGGCACACTCACCCGAAGGGTGTTCCTTGGAGAAGTGATTGTTCCTCTGGCCACATGGGACTTTGAAGACAGTGCAACACAGTCTTTCTGCTGGTATCCTCTCCGAGCCAAGGTGTGATATCCGGGTGGGGCCTGAGCGACCCCCTCCTGCCCTGCAGAGTCTTTTTCAGAGGCTAAATTCCTGGTACATTCTGTGTCCCCTGCTCTTCTGTTGTCAGCTCTGGAAAATATCTGTTGCCAGCCCCTGGTGCAGGACCTGGTATAAGATAGGCCACCACAAGGTTGTCCAACAGAGCCTGCTTTGGCAAGTGGACTAGGAGCAGAGTGCCAACAAAAAAGCACCTTTCCTGGCGCCAGATAATGGGTCCTGCCTAGTGCTGAATGGAACTGTGTGCCTGTAGGCATGGTGCCTGCTTTCTACATGCTAAGGGTGGCAGCAGCTCTATTTTAACTGCCACTCAAGAACCAAATACCGTGCATCAGTACAGGGAGAGGCTGGTCCAGGCAGGCTCTCAGGAGTCCTGGGCCTTTTGCCATTACCCTGAGGGCTGCTTCTCTCCATTGGTGGGATCTGCCCCAACATATGGACTCTTCCTCGTACACTTTTCTCACTCCCCTACAGGTGAAAGATTGATGGGATTCCATGGGTCCTTTTTTCATTCACTTTGACAGTCAACTATGACCAGACAAACCACTGTGGTAGGCAGGCTGGTGCCCTCTGCAGTGGGTCAGGACAAGGTGGTACCATGTACTCGAAGCCTGAAGAACCACCATGGCTTTGGGCATGGGTGGGGGCGCCTGGGTCCAGTCCCTGCAGCAGACCTTGACATGCATGAAGGGTAGCTGAAAGTCTTAGTGATTAGTTGGGAGTAGGGCAGGCTTGCTTTGATTTACTTTTTTCCAATAGGTAGTGCCAGGTTTTCTTAGGACTGTCCTATTCCCATAGGCCTACTTCCTCGGGCCTGTCAGCCTCTGGTTTACTAGGGTGGTTCCTTCCAATGCTGGGGTGGTGGTGGGGGTGGCAGGGTGAGTCACTACAGATGAAGGGAAAGCCATCAGCACAGACATGCCCATCCCAGGGCCCCCTGAGAGAGCCTAAGAGACTGTGCAGGGGTTATAGGGGAGCACGTGGGAGCAGAGCTGAGAACCCAGGGCGTGTAGTGGGTCCTAGGGGGCAGTCCTGCTTTTGACCTCTGCCCACTGCTCATAGGCTGAGAAATACGAAGATAGTGTTCCTCAGAATAATGGAGAACTTGCTGTTCGGGCCAAACTGGTCCTTCCCACAGAGCCTAGAAAGCTCCAGGAGGCTCAAGAAGGTAGGTGACTTCCTGCGCTCTAAAGATTTGTCTGTTGTCACTATTTCCAAAACCTGGAGGGCAGGTTGGTTGAGGGAGGAGCAGAAGTTTCCTACTGTTGCCTTCTGACTGTCCACTCACTGGTCCCACACCCCCAGGAACTCTCACCAAGAGAAGTGGAGGCATCCTGGGAGTGGTTCCTTGGGGGGCCACGACATGGGTAGTCGAGCAGGCAAGGCCTCCAGTGCCTACTTACCCACTCTAAGAACACTGGCTTTAAGGCTTTCCTCCCAATGACGCACTGGACAGTCTGGTGAAACCATGGACCCTCGTGACCTCTGAGAACATGTTCTGGATGAGGAATTTAGCTCACGAGGAGCAAAGAGAACATCTCAGGGTTCTGGTACGAGACCACCTGTTCAGCCTTGGAGGAAAGAGCTATTGCCCAACAGGTGACATAGGCCAAGGACAGGTCCTTGAGGATATTATGGAGACTTAATGTGTAATGTGTAGAAACTATTAAGGGCAGAGACAAGAATAGTCATTTCCATCGTAAGTTTAGCAGCTATTTAGTAGGAAGAAAGAGGAAGTTCTGCTACTGAGCTTACGTGGCCACAAGGAAGCCAGAAACAAGCACCCTGTGGTCATCCCCATCTCCCTGAAATGGGCTTGGGACTGCCAGGTCTCCCAAAACCACTGGCCATAGTAAGACTAAAACTTCCATATTTTTCTCTGCGGGTTCCTCTGTACTCCTCAGCTCTTGCTTCCCTGGGGCTTTGACAATGCTTGCATCCCGTCAGCACCGTGGGCAGTTGGAAGGCAGGGCCAGTGGAGCCTTCCAGGAGATTTCCCTTTTCCTACCTGCTCTGTGGGGTTTGGTTCCTGGGACAGTCCTCCTAGGACAGTCTTGGGTGGTGGTATTGCATACCGAAGTCTCAGAAGTGGGCTTGACATTCCTTTCCTTCCAGATCAGCTGTCACTTAATGGTCAACTCTGCTTGGTAGTGCTGGGAGCCAAGAATTTACCCGTGCGGTCAGATGGTACCTTAAACTCATTTGTTAAAGGGTAAGTGTTAGTAACCAAATACTGGTAATCAATTATCTTGAGTAGCAATTACCAAGAAGTATAAGGCATGTTCAATTCATCTTATTTTAGATTTTCAAAGAAAATCCAACAGAACCGCTACTAAAGACCCCGATTTCCAGGAGTTCATGGGATTTGGACCTGTTGAGGCTTGATTTGCAATAGTGTTTTAACCTGAAGCTTGTATCATGTTACTTCTTGTTATATCAATAAGTCAGTTTTGAAATCAAGTACACAAAAGCAGTGTTAATAAATATTTCCTTAGTTTAAAACCTGTCTTGGAGTAGCTGATACATGCATGAATCCAGCACTTTTTCTTAGTGTAGGTGTTTGTAGCGCCAAAGTAAACAACATGAGTAATACAGTGAGGTGCTGAATCCCATCACTGACAGAATGGGAAGATGACAGCCTGTCAAGACAGACCCACTTGTGCCCTAATTCTGTCACTGCTGTGCATGGCCTTGGGCAAGCGGAGTTAGCCTTTCTGAATGTATTTTGCTGAGAACAGAGGAAAACGAGATCATGTGCGTTGAGCCTTGGCAGGGCCTGTGCCATCAAATGGTAACGGGGAAGAGATTACGAAGAGGACTGTGTGGCCTCAGAATTCCGACTGACACAAGGTCCAGCTCTGAAAGAAATGCTGGCAAATGGGGCATGGCAGGTCCTGCAGTGCCATCCTAATCACGGCTGCAGATGTCTTGTATGTTGCAGGCAGCGCTTGGTGTTTGTTTGCACTCAAGCACAAGTAGCAGTAATGGAATGGGGGCTGCATGGATGGCGGTGATGGTCACAGCATCTGTTTCCCTTCAGCTGTCTCACTCTGCCAGACCAACAAAAACTGCGTCTGAAGTCCCCAGTGCTGAAGAAGCAAGCTTGTCCCCAGTGGAAGCACTCCTTCGTGTTCAATGGTGTAAGCAGGTCTCAGCTGAGGCAGGCAAGCCTGGAATTAACTGTGTGGGACCAGGCCGTTTTTGGAATGAATGACCGCTTGCTGGGGGGAGCCAGACTTGGTTCAAGTAAGTCTAAGCTCTTCCATACATGCTATGTCACCCAGTGCTTCTCAAATAGTGAAAATCACAGCTTTGTTATGCTCTTAGAGATTGTTTTACTGCACGGGTAGGCACCATGAGAAAAAAAAGTGTTTCTGTAACAGCAGCAATTGAACTGGCTCTGCCCACCAAAACCAGAAGTTCCTCAGTGTACTCTGCAAGGGAGCGCTAATACAGCAAAGTATTTCGACAATTTAAATCAGATTTAGATCTGCTAGAGAAATAAGTTATTGCCCTTAACATGGGCAAGGTACAGTATTTGGTTTTGTTTCTGTTGTCAATCATAAGAGGATTATTTTACCAAAAGAAAATATCTTAATGCAAACAGATGGCAATTGAGAAAGTATTGCACTCTGAGTAGGACAAACAGGGTTGTTATTCAGTGTTGTTCATGAGGTTGGGGGCCTCTGGCACTGTGTGTGGGCAGCCCTCTGCTGGGGGGGTTCTGTGTCCCACCCCTACCCACCAGCTGCTGGTAGTGCCTCCCACACATGGTGACAACCAGGCCCTGGAGGCATCCCTGATGACCCTCAAGAGACTCATGAATCAAAGGAATGTTGTCCAAAGCAACGATTCTTTCCTAACAAAGTCCCAAGAACAAACCTGGTTTTCCCACTAGCCACAGCCATGGTATTAAGACTGTTGACTTCCTTAGGTAAAGAATCAGCCACCAAACCCTGTGACACTACAGGGAAGGAAATGGGGGTCAGTTCTAAGAAATATATCAGCATGCTGTCAATAGTAGTAATTCTGTTTGAAGGCATTTCTCCTCAGTGTTTGACATTTTCGAAGGGAAGTGAAAAAAATGCCTCACAGGTCCTTGCGCTTATGAGAGCTGAGAGGGCGGTGTCCTCTGCCACCACCGTTTGTTTCATTACAGAGGGAGATGCCGTTGTTGGTGCAGGCGGTGGCTCACAATCAAAGCTTCAATGGCAGAAAGTTCTTTCCAACCCCAACTTATGGACAGATATGACACTTATCCTGCACTGAAGTGAAGCCTCAAAGCTCCAGGCTGCAGTGGGTTGGCCGGCATGCTGCTGAAAGGTTAGCAGGGCGTGGGGTCACCACCAGGCAAGAGCATCTGGCTTATGCATTCTCCAGCTGAGTTCTGTGTCAGTGCCTGGAATCCCCCTCCACATCTGTACTCAACAGAGCAATTATCGGTGTTACATAAGTCAGTCTGATTGTTTTGTGTTGTGGAAAATGGCCACATTTTGGTAAATGTTCAGCAGTTACCTGTCCCTCCCAATATTAATATTTTATTAAACATTTTATTAAACAAATCTCAGCTTTGTTATGTGCATTTCAGAGGGGAGAAAAAAAAGCCTGGTGCTTGTTCAATCCCTCCTGCAGTCCTGTGGAAACATCATACCAGTTAGCCTAACTCTGTGGGTCTAGCAGCTCAGGGGACAAAAGGGCCCCTCCCAGGGACTGCGTGGAACCTGGGGAAGTCCCAGCAGGCCTTCCCACCACTGCACAGTGCAGGGTTTCCTTTTCTACACCTGCATTGTGCAGTTCACATCTGCACACCATGCCCGAACTGAGAAAGGGCAAAGCAGTGCCCAGGCAAGGAGGTCAAGAATGAGAGAAAGGGGACGTGGGAAGGGCTCTTGGAGGAAACAGGCAGCACCTCTTCAGGGCTGGAGCCTCATCAGTCTACCGTGTGGCTATTTCCAACAAGCTTACACAGAAAAACCAATGTGCAGTTACAAAACACTAGAACACTGTTACAATGGGATTACAGCAAGTACTCGGTTAGATTATGCCCTCCCTTCAGATCAGACCAAGTGCCGCGGTTATGTGGTTTTTAATACGCAATTCTTTTATTCTGTAAAAGGTAACAAAATATACAGAACAAAACTTTCCCTTTTTTAAAACTAATGTTACAAACCCATATTATCACTTAAGATATAAATACTATACTCTAGCTGATTATTAGTTAGGTGTGAGTCCAACAATGTATTCTTATAACTGTTTAAGCAAAAAACCAGAAGTTTATCGGAGTCCTCCTGTACCTTCCATCCCAAGTGACTGTGGCAGATTCTGCCAGCTGAGCAAAACATCTGGAGGAAGGAAGCCACTGCATGGGGGATGGGGCTTTAGACAGGGCTTGTTTTACCTCTCACAACATGTACATATACAGAGATGAATCCTTCATAGAAATCAAGAACAAATCAATCAGTGTAAAGCTTATTTCAAAAGTATGGCACAGATGTAAGCCACGATGTGGTTTCTTTAACGATACTGAACCTTGCACACCTGCCAGTGTGAAGTCTGCACTTGGATTCTACAGGCATCGTAATTCCATCAGTCCCGCTCCAAGGATACAACAGGAAGTGATTTGATAATTATAAAAATCAGGCCTTTTTGGCACTATGATACAGCTGGGAAAAATAACCAGGGTGGCGCCCGGCCCAGAGTGCTTCCACCGGTACCTCCTCTTAAAGGAACCTGGAACGTGATGAGGGGGTTTCTAGATTTAGAGTACTAAAGAGCCAGTGTGCCCAGGCCCTCCGGCAGAGCCCCGCTCCTGACGCCCTATGCACTGCCCTGGACTCTACATGGCCTCGAACTCATCGATGCGCTGCTTGGTGTTGCCCTGCCGGATCTGGCGCAGGGTCTTGTACTTGTCCCGGCCTTGCCTCATGTTCTCGTTGTGGATGATGTCGTTGTGGGTCCTCTTGTTTTCGTCTCTGGCCTGGGACAACTCGCTGCTCAGTGTCTACGAGAGGAAGCAGTTGTCTGTCAGCTGTCTGCCCTCCCTGAGACATCAGTGACCCCAGCCCCAGAGGATGAGCGAAGGGCACAGGAAAGCAAGGCCTGCACTCACCAGCAGCTGCCGCTGCACGCGCTCATTCTTCTCTGCCTCGGTGATGCGCTTCTCCTCATTGCGGTGGTCCAGGATGCCCTCGCTGGAGAGCTCGGCGCTGTAGCCCATGGGCTCTGCGCCCTCCTCCTGCAGGTTGTCCTGCACGTGGTAACTCACAGGCTCGTATATGGGTGGCGGCGGGGGTGGCGGGGCCGTCATCACCAGGTGCAGCTCCTCCTTGGTCTTCACCAGGTCATCCTGGGCTTCTTTGGCCTTCAAAAGCAAGTTCATAGGTGAGAGGCTCCCCATGGCCCATGTGGAGGCAGAGGCTGGACATTTTTTAAAGTACCATCCATTTCCTTTCTGCCTCTATTCCTAGTCTGTACTCACTGCATATTTTTGAAAAGAAATCCTCCAGCTGTTGGAAGAGACTAGTAAAGTCTCATGTGCTCTTGCTCCTCTTGGCAGCTGCTTATCCCGCACCTTCCTGCCCACAAATCCACCCAGCATCTTCATGAGGCACAACCCAACCCTGCTCACTTCCATTCCCTTCCTGGACACAAGCTTAGTCTGATGTGCGTTGCAACTAGCTTTTCTCACTTTCTCAAAACCCCAAGAATCTTCTGCTTGCCTTTGGGGATGAGGAATGGGAGTCAGAAAACAAGGGAGAAGCACCAGGCTAGAGGGGTAGGGCACAGGAGCTCCAGAGGCGTGGTGCGAGGCCTCAGCACCAACTGCATCTAGACCCACCCCTGTCCTACAGGCAAGTAGGGCCACAGCCTGAGCAGCACAGCCCCAGCTTGCCAAACCGGGAGCTGCACATGGGTGCTCTCCCCGACAGAGCACTCTCACAGGCTGGGGGTTGCTGCCGCTCTACAAGGAGACAGAGTCCGAGTTAAGGCTACCTTCCCAGCTCGTCAAATATCTGAGAGGCCAAGCAGGGACTCTCAGGTCCAGAGACCTGCCTGGCACTGGGCGTGGTGGCCTGAGATGTATTCCAACTGTTGGGAGGTCTCATTCCAGGCTCTGCGACTCCTGTTGCAGGGGATATCCAGGTGGTCAGATTTAAAATTTGTTCCTGATCAGGGCGGCCTGATCATGGCTAAGCACGCAGGGTGACAGGGGCAAAGCAGGAGAGGCGAGTAAGTGGCTCTTTGTCCTCTGCTAATCCCAGAGCATGTGTACTCGTGTACAAGCCCATCTCTAGGGGAGTTTCTGCTCCCTCAGTGTAGCTGGCTTGGCAAGGAGCAGTGACAGTGACACGTCCTAGGTACTCTCAATGTGCCCTGCCAGCTGAGCCGGATGCCGCTCCCGACCTGCCTCCGAGGAGGAGTCCCACAGGTGTCCCAGCTACTGTGCGGATCTCGGGTGCACTCACCCTGTGCTGCCACTCCTCCACCTCGTCCTCCTTGCGCCGCCGTGCCTCCTCCAGCAGGGCAATCTTGGCAGTATACTCTGCAAGCTCCGTAGCCTGGAAGGGAAGGGCACATCCAGTGGCTTCTGGAGTCTTTTGGGCAGAGTCCATTTGTGAAGGAATGCTCACACGTGCTGGTAAATGGCCTCCATGTGACACACTGTGTCCCTCCCTCTCACTGTGGCCAGCAAGCCCATCAGTGCCACCCTGTGGGACCCTGGGTGCCCACATAAACCTACTAGCTTGGGATTCAGGCGACAGCAAGTCCCTCTCCCCTGGGAAGATCCATTTACAGGCCCCGAAGAAAGTCATTACAAGGCAGGTGTTGGTGCAGAAGCAGTCTCTCTATAATTCAGCATCTTGAAACCCAGGGAATCCTTACCAGCTGCTCCTGGCTCTTTATCTGATCCACCGTCTGTCTCTCCAGCTCCTCCTTGGCCCGCAGTGCAGCCACGCGGTCGGCCTCCAGGCGCTCAGCCTCCTCCTGGGCTCGTTTCCTCTCATCCTCCAGCTGGAGGGCTCTCTGGATCTGGTCGGAGAGTTCTGTGGAGAGCACCAAACCACGGCTGCTTGGATTCCTAGGCTAGGAAGTGCAGCCCCAGACTTCACGTCCCATCCAGGATGGAATGAAGGCCAGGGAGCCTCTCCCAGAACCACCAAGCCCTGGGTCGAATCATGGGGTGAGCCTCCTTGCCCTCTCCCAGCTACCTCATGGCTCCTTGCTATGTTTCTATGATAACTTCCTTAAGATGCTTAGCAAAAGCTGGTCAGGCAGCCCCTTTTCTGGCCAGGGCCTCATCCTCTTGGTCCCACTCTCTTTAGAAGGGTCTCACCCCTGCTGCCACATCACCTCAGAACTTGCTTCCAACAGGTAAACGCCCTGCCAAGGTCTTTCCTGGCTGCCCACATACACAGCCATCACTGTGCTATGTCACACACAAGAGGCCCCAAGGGCAGAGGTAGGGTGTGACCCTTGGAACAATGGTGGCAGTGGTGCTGTCACAATCAAGCTGTTTGGACAACCATGTGTAGCTGTGCAGCTTTCAGAGCCCCGGGTTTTGAGTCTAGGAGGTGGAGATGTGGTGCAGCATCGCTCTGCCACTCACCGGCCAAGCCACTGTGGGCTGATGCTGCTGCCTCACTACAACTTGCAACTTCTCAACATGAAAACAGGGGTGACTCTGTACTCCCTTAAAAGCTATGAAAAACTAAATTAGCATAGAAGTTACTCAAGTACTGAGTTATTGTCTAGTCTCAGTGCCATGTCATCACTTCTCTGCTCCAAGTCTCCGTTTCTGGGTGACGTGTTAAGCACTCACACATGTTCCTCAAGTTCCCCCTCCTGCCTCTGCCCTTGCCTGCCTCTCTGTGGAAACAGGGGAGACCCAGTGCCATCGCAGACAGTGCAGCCCCACCTTTCTCGGCCTTCTTGGTCTTCTCCTCATAGTCCTGTAGCCGCAGCATCAGCTCCTCCTTTTCCTTCAGCATCTGCTCCTTCTCCCTCTCAACAGTCTCTCTCCTCTTCTTCTCTGTCTCCAGCTGCTGCCTGCAGAACGGAGGGACAGAAGGTTATGCTCTGGCAGGGTCTTGGTCATCTGGGAGCCTGGGCCTGGAGAGTCTAAGACAGTGATAGCGAACCTCTCAGAGCTTTCAATGACACAAACAGCCTGCTGCGGAACGTATGCCGCAGGCTTGTCACTGTTGGTCCAGGATGAAGGGGTCAGAAGCTAAGCCCAGCTCCTGCCCCTCCCCAGTGCAATGCTGGGGCTGAGACTGGGCTTTGAGCAGGGCCAGGCTGCTGCTTCCAAGCCTTTCTGACTGGAAGGGCACAGCCACTATGGGTCATCTGACAGGCAGACCAGCTGTCACACCCGGCCCCAGTGCCAAACCACATACCGCTCCAACTGCTTCTGATGCTTCTCCTCCCGAGCCTGGGCCTTCATCTGCTGCACCTCAATGGTGTCGGGCTTCCTGCGGCGCATGTACAGCTCATGGTTCCCCATGCACAGCTGCAGGATCCGCTTGTTAATCCTCAGGCGAGGAGCATAGAACACAAAGTCCTGCCAACAGAGAAGGGCAGCCTGGATCAGGACTCCTCTGGTGGCTTTCTTCCCCCAAAACCACAATGAACAAAGTTCTAGAACCTTGACTAAAAGGACAAATGTGGCAGAGGAAGCACGCCTCATCTGCCTTGTAAGCAGGTGCTCGAGCGTGTCTGTGTGTGCATGTTTGTGGCTTGTGAAGGTGCATAAATGCACGCCCATGAGTGAGGACGCCCATGTTCGTGTGGTTGGTGTATGTATGCACACTGAAACCGCAGACTGCACAGCAAGGCCAAGGCAAGGCTTCTCCTAGCCGTGGGGAGCTAGCTCGGTACCACCCACAAGCCAGCCTATCTTCCCAAGTGCATCTTGGTGTTCTCTCCTCAAGCCCTGCAGCTGTCCTCATCATCGTCCCGCACCCACTCCTGCCTGGCCTGCCCCGGCTGCAGCCTGTCACCTCCCACACTGCTCTGAGCATGTACCCCTACCGCCCAGATCTCCACCTACTGCTCCGGATTCCCCATGTAGGCCTGGCATGCGCCACAGCCTACAGCGCCAGCGCCCACCATCCTCACTTGTACCAGGCAGCACTTTCGCATCCTTCTCCTTGGTGGCATCATCAACCTTGTCTCCACAAGGACCTGTGCTCTGAGCCTTGTTATACCCAGGTGAGGTGAGCAACACCATGTGCTGATACCACGGCACTTGAGGCCTTGCTTGGCTGCCGCCCGCTCCCATTAGACCACCAGCCCTTGACGAAACCTTGTTCACTCATCTGTCTTGCCAGAACCAAACCAATTCCCAGTGTTTATTGACAATCAATGAATAACCTGCCAGGGACAGTCACCTAATGCACACTCCACGACCCTGAACAAGTCACTTCACCCAGCCACAGAGTCCTCCCTGAATCAGGATGACCTAAAGGGGCGGCTGGAACAGCACCTGGTGCAATTAAAGCTGGTTGGTAGAACACAAGCTGCCTTACAAACCTTGCATGAAGCAAGACTTCCTGAAAAGCAGCACAGGAATGCTGTGACCAGTGACCGTACAAATCTAGAGGAAGGATGAACATCTTGGTTCTGAACTCCTGTCATGATCAACTTGAGAGAAGAGGGAACACAGTCTAGAAACTCATTAAAGATAGTTTTTATTTTATCTGTTTAGCCGGTGCAACATGCAGTACCGTGGATCAAACCTGAGTCCTTGTGCTTGCCAGGCAGGCACTTATACAACCTAGCTATTGCCCCAGCTTATTAAAGATATTTTAAAAGCTGGGGATGGTGCACACTTGTAATCTCAGCACTTGGAAGACTGAAGGGAAAGGATTGAGGTAAATTTGAGGCCAGCTGGGACTATACAGTGAACTCAAGGCCACACTGTGTCTCAAAAGAGGATGGGGGGTGGGGGTGGGGGGACAGACAGGAAAAAAACATGAATGAGTGAACACATGAACTTTAGAATGCTTCTTAGCCACAAGTCTTTGGATATCCAGATCCTGACCATCTCAAACAGGGACAGAGAAAAGGGGCTGAAACAAAGCTGCAGCACGACCCACTCCACAGTGATGTCAAGAGGCCTACAGAGCACACTGGACCAGCTAAGCAACATGCTCAAGAAGACCTAATTTAGTTCCTCCTTTCTTTGGTTCCAGAAACCCTGGGTGAGAGGTGAGGCCAAGCACGGAGCCCTTGAACTTCCGGGGTGGGGCTCCCCTCAGGGTTTCACACACTAGTTATTAAGTCATTGGGTTTTCCTGGGAGTTGGAGTTGGCAGTGCTGAGAGAAACAGGCACTTTTATTACCTATTGCACAAGAGAAAACCACCAGGCACAATGGCTTCAGAGGCACCCTGGCCAAAGAGGCTCTGTTACTCAGTATTTGCAAAGAAACACTGCTTAGCACTAACTCCTTTCTAGAGGAAAATCAGTTAAAAGGATTTAAGGGTCTTAAGAACTTTTGGTGAACATGAGAACCTACCCATTGTGGTCCCCAGAGAAAAGTCCCCAAACTACCGGAAAGTGCTGAGAACAACTAGTCTGTTGTTTAATGGGTCAGGGGAAGGGAGGAGAGGTAGAAGTTCTTTAGCTGTCTCTGAAGGACACCACTCTTGACTTCAACAAAAACTCACACGTTTCCACATCATATCTCCCAAAGCAAAACCACAACAGGAGTCCTGGGAAGACTTTCTAAAAATGGTAGCAGGCACGCAGAAGATGTGTGGAAAGAGGATTCACGGTTCCCTGAGCGCAAACAGCCAAGAGGCTATGCCAAGTTTTGACAGGCAGGGCTCCAGGCCACCCCTGGCCCTCTGACCTGCTAGAACTGAGGGTGGGGGCAGGAGCCTGCTCAGAGGACTCTAGAGAAGGGCATCCTGAAGGATGGAAATAAGGAGGAGCCTGATCATTTTTCACTGTTTCAAAGCTATTAAGCAATTGTTCAGGAGCCTTCTGCTTAGGCCACAAGAACAAGATTGTTCTGAGGAATGGGTACAGCCTTGGCCTCTCACAGGCCACCCGGACATGCTGCGACCTCGGTGGGATGGAGGTCCTACGTAAGAGTCACAATGTGGCCCAAACTGCCCTGTGCCACCTGGCAGAAAAGAGAAGCTGGCTTTTAAGAATAAACTGCTTGGTCCCCAGGGATCCTTGTAGAATAAGCCAGGCCAGATTAGGACTCCCACAGTTTCTCACCCCCTGGGGTTTCCTCTTATGTGAAAGCTTAAACAGGAAACTGGCTTTCTTCTGCCTGACTGAAAGACTGCCAAACAAGGCGACTAGGCAGCCTGGGGGAGGGATGGAGGGTGACAAAACACTGTCCCCACTACCTAATTCCCGGGGCAAATGCTTTGTCTCCAGGGAGTCTACTCCTCTGGCTTCCTCCATCTCTCCAACTCCTTAGCCTGCTTTATACTTCATTGCAGCTGTGTCACTAAGATGCACCACAAGACAGCCCAGTCTTCACTGGGCTTGCGTCCCTGTCTTCTGCTAGAGCACAGGCTGCTCTGACTGCTCAGACAGCACACACAATCCAGGCACACTGGATGCCGATGGCCAGGTTCCCCTCTTCCCTCTGAAGGAGGCCTCACACAGAGCTAGCGTGGAATAAATGTACACACTGACTCAGCCAGACGCCATGTCACCGCCTCTGCTTGGGATTTTCTAAGTATAAAGTATTCTTTAGCTTTTCAAAAGCTAAGCTTCTACCTAATTAAACATATGTAATACCCTAAGTCTACTGCAAACTGTACTCTGTCAGCAGAATTTCTAGAAGTGTTCTGAAAAATTAGTAGCTTCCTACTGTGAAGACAGCAATCCACCAAGAGATTTCAGAACAACTTTTCTTGCTCTTCTAAGGGCATCAATCTCACTGCCCAAGTGTCGTGGGTTTGCCACGACCCTCAGGTGGTGAGGAGCATGTTAAAATGGGAGCTGTTGCCAGGGAGCTGAAGAGGCTTTTTAAACACTGGTTTACTCTTAAAGAACTTGAGACTCCTATAGGGCAGGAGTCAAGACCCAACAGCAGGAAACATTTCAATAAGGAAGAAAATACTTTCACAAACCAAGTCAAGAGATGCCGATTTTAAATTATGCTGGACAAACTCACCCATCTATGGGGAAGAGTAACTGCCAAGAACACCATGTCATGTTCCAAGTGGGTGCCCAGGAGATTTAATGGGCACTGGACGTAAGGCCCACAGCCCCTGCTGGCCACGGTAAAACTAAAGCTGTAACTAAGGAACAAAAAGGGCAGTACGACATCAAGTCTTTTCCACTCTACAATTCTGATAAATTTGGAACAGGCTCTATGGAGGATAAAGAATTTCTTCCAGTGGCATTTTTTCAAAGCATCAAATTTCAGATTAGAAAACAAAATCCTCACCATGTCCACCACATGACAGTCATAAATATACACATCTTAAACATTCTGAGCAAATACCAGCTAAAAAAGCTTGAATGCTGACAATAAAACCAAAGTGAATTTCCATAACATGCTGGTCTTTGGCAGCTCTTAGCTAATAATCCACATTCTTCATATTCCAAGATCTTCAAATGTTATATCCCTTTCCTACCTCGTCCTCCCAGAATGCGGAAGACCTGAGCATAACAGACTCACATCAGAGAAAAGGTGGTGGCTCCCATTAGTGGAGAGGAGGTAGGGCAGAGAAACCAGAGGACCAGCTATATGAGGGGACTTCCATAATGCGGGTTAGTTCAAGGGAGCTCTGAAGTCACTTTCTGGCCCTTCAAACCTGCAGGTCTCACGGTCTGTCGTCCAGCTGTGAACCAAGGAGAGGCTAATGACAGCCCACACTAGGTCTGCATGTAGAGGTAGGATGGTTCACCACATGAACACAAATAAAGAGTCTGGGTGTGACACAGCACCCTGGGAAATGCTCACCATTTGGCAAAGGTCAATGGCTCAGGACTGCCCTCCTTTATAAGGAATGAAGACCGCTGGAAAACTTAGGTTAGTCATCCAGCTCTCAATGGATACCTGGCCTCTACAACAACCTCCTCTCCCAAGTAGTCATATGGCCCAATGGATCTCTGGCACATACAAAAATCTGAGTGTTTCCCTGCAAACTCATTTAGCTATAAGAATGTTATAATTGTGTAGAATCCATTTGAACTTACAGGTGCTTTCTTGTCGATGGGCTTAATGACAAACTTTTTGTCATTGAAAGAGATGTTTCTGATTTCACTCCAAGGAAAGCCAATCTTTGGGGTCAACCTACGGTTAAAGAAAATAGAGTATGTCTGTTCAATACATCAACACATATCAAGTATGTCAACCTACTCAATTCAGCATCCTCGGGCTGCCGAATGGCCCCCAAACCTACCCTTTAACACAAGGTCTGCAGCTTTCATGTTCTGCTCCCCTGGCCTGCTTCCTCCCCTCCCTTCTGTGGTGTCTCCCCGCCCACCATGCAGGTTCTCGTGCCACACAGACTCTTCTTGTAGCTCCTTTATATTATCACGTTTTTATTTCATTTATGGAAAGCAGTTGCTTCTCTGGCTCTCCGAGTGTACATTTGTCAGGCTGGCCAGACACTGTTGCATGCCACCCTCTAACATAAGAAGCCCCACGACATCCTACCACCACTGGCCTAAATTATGACCGTTTAAAGCACACTCCAAGGGAAGTCTATCACGGGATTTCAGGACCGTGTTGTTCTGTCTCGTGCTTCCCGATGTACTGCCAAGGATACCACCACTCTAGGACGGGCCCCCATTCAAAGACTGCCGTCAAAAGCAGCGCCTTCCGACATCCTGCAACTTCCAGCAGAAAATAAGAGTCGGAAGACATTTACTGCCTAACAATAGGTTCAAATAAAAACAGGTAACTTAGGTCTTTCCATGGTGACAGAAGCTAGGTCAAGTCAGGCGGGCAGGCTGAGAGAGCCTCTAAGCCTAACCAGTGGCTCCTGTGGCCGCAGCAGTCACGGCCCAGCTGCAGAGGTGACGCAGAGCTCTGGTCAGACCTGATTTCACAGCAACATGCGTTAGTGTACATCCTTGTAAGTCTCCTCCTTACAGTATATCACCAATATCCACATAAACACAGCTGGCCAACATGGTTGAGAACACTCGGACATGCAGGGAGTTTGTTCTGTTATCTTCACGTATAGGAAGTATTTTGAGAGATGAATTTTTGTTTAGAGGCTAAGAGCATCAGAGAGAAACTTAGAATATGGCCAGGACCCGACAGTATCTGCTGCCTATCTCCTCCTTACATGGGAAGGCCAGGTGAGTGACATCAAGAGGCAGCTGTTGTCCCCAAAACCCAAGAGCAATAAAAAGAACTAAGAGGGCTGGCCAGATACCTCAATGGATTAGGACCGGGGTTCGAGCCCCGGAGCACTGTGCTGGCCCTGCCCCCTGCAATGAGATTGGGCATGGTGGCACATGCCTATAATCCCAGCGCTTGGGAGGCTGAAAATAGGAGAATCACTGTAAGTCCGATCTGTGTAGTGAGACAATGTCAACCCTGTACTAAATACATGAAAAAATAATGACAATAGTAAAATAAAGACAGCTAAGGACCAAGCAAGTACTGCTCAAGGCACAAGACCTGTGCAGGACCACCGGGGTAAGTCTCCTTCAAAGTAGAGCAGTTGCCTCCACTTTGGCCGTGCCTGGCCCTATTTCCATGTATTGATGTGCACAGAGCAGGGTAGGGCTCTTACTCATCCCTTCAGCTGGCTTCCAGCAATGCATACAGGTGCAGCCCAGCTACTAGTGGTAGTCTTTGGAGCCAGCAGACCTGTTTCCCCGGAAGCCCCACCTGCTGCTCTTTAGTGTGAGCCAGGCAGAGATAGGACAAAGAGCCAATGTTCCACGCTGCTGGCCGAGAGTGGAACACAACCTTGAGAGAGAGGCTATGGCTTCCTGGGGTTTGAAGGTTCAGAGCTGAAGCACCTGGCCCGAAGCATGAGTTACTACCTCATGGTGTATGCAGATTACCCTTTCTGCATATCTGCATGTACATCACAGGGGCGAATGCAGGCCTCGTGCCCAGCTCAGCTGCAGCACTCGCCTACTTCCTGCCAGTCTCACAATCACTCATCCTCAAGCCACTCCTTTCTTCTAGAATAAATAAAACCCTGGTTAGGCCTTGGGTCGAGGCCTTTGTTCCGCACAGCCATCCTTGTGGCTGGACCTAGGACCCCTTGATTCCCCACAGCTACAAATATGCCCCATTGTCTTTATTCTCACCATGGATTGCACCAAAGTGTTAGACTGGGACAAACTTGGTGGGATTCCAATCATGTGCCCATGGGATTATAAATAAGCACTTCTCAGACCAAGAAGAGGACCAGAAAGGGCTCAGTATACAGACACACAGGTCAGAATCTCCAACTCTTTGGGTCTGAGATTGCATTTTGCTCCTTCTCGTTGTCATTTTGTGTAGCACTATCTTCTGACCTTTGTTGTAGAGCTTTGGTGCAGTTATAGCCTTAGCACCTACTGAAGTTCAGGTGTAGATCTACAAAGCTTGGGATTTATCCAGCTGTGCCTGGCTTGGCTCTAGCTGCTGTACTCAGTTCCTTCCTGTTGCTGCCCTTGGGGGTGGAACCTGTTGTGCCCCTCTGCAAGATGTTCTGCTCCTGGACTAGCTGGGTGGTTCTGTCCCCTATACTCTCTGCAGGGATTGCAGCTGAAGGGTTTTACCCCAGGCCTGTATGCCAGGCCTGAGCTGAGTCTGGAGGGGACAAGGTAGAGTAAGGGGGAGAGGCAGCTCTCCCACACACTCACTGGGCCTGGGCTAGGACTGGGTCCGGGGGTTCCCGGAACGCAGCAGAAAGTCCTACTCGCCGGGCAGGGTGGGGGTTGCTGCGGAGTGGTGGGGGGCATCCCAAGGGGGTGGAAGAGGGTCTCACCCATGCTGTGCCTGGCTTAGGATGAGTAGGTCCCGCTGGCGCAGGGTAGCCGGAAGCTCTCCCACACACTCACCAGGCCTGGGCTAGGACTGGGTCTGGGGGTTCCCGGAACGCGAGCATCTCCAACTCTTAAAAAGGTCAGCCTCTGTTCTCTGGCTCCTGCTCACACAGGCCTCTCAAAACAGTTTCTGAAGTAGAAAACCCGGGCCAGGCCTTCCGCCTCTGCTTTCTGGTGTGTCTGGACTTTTAACACTTTGAAACCTAACAACCTGTGGCCGCTTACAACATAACTGCACTATCAGAAGATGAGGGCTAAACATGACTCACTTCTGAGTTAAAGAACTTCCTTTCCTTCTTGATCACAGTTGGATAAACACAAGCTTTACAAAGTTTCCCTTTAAGAGATCACACATAGGACATGAACAAAGTCCACGGAGAAGACAGGCTGAAGGATTTATATTTTAAGTATCCTTTCTAGGATATACATTTAAAAAAAAAAAAAGGTGGCCATGTGTGGTGGTGCCTCCCTATAATCCCAGAGAGGCAAGAGGATCAAAAGCGCTAGGTCAGCCTGGGCACCTCAGCCCAAGTAAGAGTCTGTCTCCAAAAAAAAAAAAAAAAAGCGCTGGGGATATAATGCAGTGGTATGCCACCCCTGGTTTTGATCCCTATTACTGCAGGAAAAAGAAAAGCCACACCAACGGTGACTGGGGGCCTTTGAAGAAATGGCCGATTCCAGGGCTGGAGGAGCAGGGAACACACAGGACACAGCCAGAGCATCCTGAGATGCCTGGATAGAAAGGTCGCCCTCACAGAACAATGGGGTGACATGGAAAGGACATAGGCACCCTGTCCAAGGGGTCAACCCTCAGTCAATCTGTGCAAATACCACCAATAGATTATAACGGAGACTAAGTATCTGAGTTTATATTAAGAGAAATAATTCACTCAATTGAAGAGGAACTGACTTCTTACAGAATCCCAGTCTCCAGTACCACAGTAGTAAATATTTCATGTAAGTCTCATGAATTGATATGATAATCAATTAAAGTATAAAAATTAGGTTAGGGGCTGGGGAGATGGCTCAGTAGAATAAGTGCTTGTCTGGCAAGCACAAGGGCCTGAGTTCAATCCCTGGTTCTATCAAAAAAAAAAATAAATAAATAAATAAATAAAAAAAAATAAAAGAATTAGGTTATTTACAATTTCAAATTATTTCCCTAAAATGTACTGCCAGTTGCAAAGGGAAAGACAGAAACTACAGTGCAGAAACCTGTCAGACACCTCCTTACTGAATGATCAGTTGGCACCAGCAGGCATCAGACACGCCGACACCAGGTGCTGCCACGTGGGAAGCCCTCGGAGGTACCACGACACTTCTAGGGGACTTTTGCCGAAAGTTCAAAACTCAAATCGTGAGCAACATCAGACTTCTGGACTTTCTAAAAAAGTCAATGGCCAGTACTCTTCAAAAATATAAAGGTCATGACAAAGGCCGTGAAACTGTCCCAAATAAAAGGAGACAGGGATATATGACAACTAAATGTTAATGATTCTGAATCGGGTCCTAGAACAGAGACCAGACTTAGTGGGATAGCAGATTCAAGCAGCAATGTCTACAGATCATTGCTGTCACTGATCAGCACCTACATCACGACTTGATGCTTGGACTAAGATTGTGTAAGATTTAACAACTGAGGAAGCGGGGTGGAGGGCACACAGGAATTCTTTGTACTATTTTTGAAAGCTTTCTGAAGTCAGTAATGATTTTAACTCAAAATATTCTGGGGCTGGGGACATACTCAGTGGTAGGGACATACTCAGTGGTAGAGCACTTGCCTAGTTTGCATGAGGTCTGGTTTGATCCCCAGAATCACACACAAACACAGGCACACAATCTGCAATGGAGTGATGATAATGTTCTATCACTTGATAGGATTTTGGATTTTATGGAATCTTACAGGCATATTTATTCAAACTCAGCAAATGAACACAAGACTATATTTCATTGTACTTAAATTTTATTCTGTAACATATTGGGCTCTAGTTAGTGACCTTGCTTTCATTTCGGGTAAACATATGGATGGTGCAATTCCTTGAAATGTGTAAGAGGTTGGAGGACTCCAGTGACATGGAGCTGGAGAAAAGTAAGATACAGCAAGTCCCAGCTCTGTACTATAGTATCTATGATACAGCAAACAATTTAAAGGAAAAAAGACATTTGCTGGGGGTGGTAGCACACACCCACAATTCCAGCACTTGGGAAGCCTGAGGTAGGGGGATCGAGGTGAGTTCAAAGCCAGCTTGGGTTTCACAGTGAATTTGAGGCCAGCCTGAACTGCATGGCAAGCTCATCTCCAAAACACCCTCCACCAAACCAAATAACAACAACATACAGACAAACGAGAAAGAGACATTTTCCACGCCTCCTTGTAGTCCCCAGCTTGTCCACAAGCTCCTGGGCATCACATCCTCGGAAGGTCAGGAGCTCTGGGCCGGGGCGATTTCAGAACTACTTACGACTGCACGGGTACTTTCTGAGGGAGCCCCCGAGGGAGGGAGCTGAAGGGGCAAGACTCTTTCATAGGACTAAACACACAGGGGCAGGATCAGTTTTCTTTAGATTGTTCAGTTTTTGTGTTTGGTCAGAACACGCTCTTTACAGACTTCCCCCATTCCTGCTGCTCATGGGGAAGGGGTTTGCTTGCCCTCTTTGAAGCTAAGGGTTCAAAGAAAGGGGAAGAGACAAATGCTTGCAGTGCCCCCAGCCTGCTCACATAGAAAGTAGACCCCAGGAGACAGGTCCTAGTCAGAGCTGATTTCATATCAAAAAGGACAAAATAAAGATGTTTTTGTTTATTTGCAGAATGCACTAAATCTCTTATAGCTCAATTTACATACTCCCTAGATTAGATTTCTCCGCTGAACAATGTATCAAGACTATCTAATTCTTGCTGTTCTACTGGGAAAGACAGCAACTCAACACCCAGCAGCTAAGAGTGCTCTGCAGTCCTCAGACATAAAGAACAATCTCTTGTTTATGCTGTTAACCCCGTTGTTAGTACCTGCTCAAAGGCAAAGAATGGGACCCACTAATTGATTAAACATCGACCTAAGTGCTTTCTCTCTGAAGAGAGGGTGTGGCTCTAGGAAGGGGGGAGGAGTGGGGAGCTGCTGGGCACCCCAACACTGGCTACGGGGAAAGCCCATTTCAGAGGGGCCAGCTTGGCTTCTGAGTTGAGAGGGACAGAGCAGGACCACACTGAAGCATTACAGCTTAAATTTTACTTGGTAAAAATGAACACTTCTGTGGGTTGGGGCGGTTCCATGCTGACATCACCAAGTCCCTGCCTATGGCTCTTGCCTCTTGAAAAACCTGTTTGGACAGCCCTGGCTATGGCTCTGTTACAAAACCTGGCCATTCAAGAATGGAGTTCAAAGATGAGCAGTTTCCCACACATCCTCCCAGGAGGACGGTGTTCTCCCTTCCTCCGGGGATAGCTCTTGGGCTTGCTGTGCTAGCCCTGGTTGGCCCCAACTCAGGGGCACAAGGCCTGCAGTTGGCTCAGAGTCCTTCACTTACTCAGACTGTTCTCATTTCTCTACCACACCGTGTCCAGCACACTCAAGATAAGAGCAAGCTGCAAGCTCAACAGCCCACTTCTCAGTTCTCCGAGTGGTCCTGTGCTGCTCCAACAAGTGTCCACCCCAATGAGTGGCAGTGCCCAGTGCATCCCCCAGCCTGCCTCCATCCACCCTGGCACCGAGGGAAGGTATAAGGATGGGCACAGCCTGCTCGGCCCAGTGGAATCCATCTATGCTCTGGAAGGAACATTCTCTGGGACTGCAGAAAGATCCACTGTTTACAGCCTGTCACTTGTAAAAAGCAGAGCCACTCCCCTCCATCACTCCAGAGAGAGGCTTTTGGAAAATATGAGTTATGGGGAGCTAAAAGAAGAAACATCTAAGGACAGCAGAGATATGAGCTATAAACAGGATATAGGACAGTATCACTTAAAGGGACAACCTGTGGCCAGCATAGGGACCAGGTCATGTCACAGGACCTGAGCATATCCTGGGACTCTGGGCCACTTAACTCTACACACAGACCAAAATGTTCCTGCCAGGAGCCTTCTCAGCCAGAGCTACCTTTTGCCACCTTAGGGGACTTCTTCAGAAGAAGGGAATTAATGGGTCCTTAGGGCAGGGACCCCAGGAGTCTCTCCTTGATCTTCCCATGGGTTGCTTCCTATTCCTCCTTAAATCCAGGAAGCTTCTGATTGGAAGAGAAAGCACCTAGAACCTAGACTTCCTAGAATGTGACCTCAGGGACAATCACAAAAAAAACTGGCACTCACAGAAAGGGGGTGATAGAGGGGCAGAGGCGTGTACCAGAGCCCAGCAGGAAGCCAGGCTCCCAGGCCAGGCAGCTCTATTTGCATCACACTGCACTAACAGACCTCACTTACAAAGCAAATACCACGAAGTGATCAGACACCTCCAGCAGGCAGAGAGGGGTCGTCTAATTATGAACACACGCAGGCTGTTGTTTACAGCAACTTCAAGTGTCTGATCCCACTATAAATACTGCTGGCTAAATCAATACAAGTTTAAGGCCAGGGAGATGCCTCAGTGGAATAAGCACTTCCCTGACAAGTGCAAGGGCCTGAGTTCAACCCCCGGCTTTGGGCTGACCGCTGGGATGGCTGAGGCACAGCCCCTGAACCATTACCACACCGGGCTATGCATCCTAAACACACCTTCAAAATCCCTACCGTCATACATACTAGCATCACACACATTCCCGCCACTTCTCCCACTGTTCCCAGGCCTGTGATCCACCTGTGATCCCACAGGCTTCAACTCACTTATCATCTTTCTCATAAATATTTAGTCCAAGGGCATCAACTCCAAGCCAAAGGTCTGTTCCTTTCTTATTTTTGATCTCGAAATAATTGATTCCATACATCTCCAGGTCCTGAGCAATCTTCAGGTACTCCAGCATGGCATTATCTCTAAAGGGGAGGCAAAACACAGGCATAAGTGTAAGTATTGCTCCACACCGCACATAAACTTCTGCCAGTATTAAAAACAAAGGCCAGCCAACACAGGAGGGATGGACAGCACAGGCAAGCAAGACAGCGGGCAGCTGAAGGCAGCTCCAGGCTGTTTGCAAGCAGTGCTCAGAAGGTCCTTCCTGTCCTGGGCCCCGGCTGCCCACACAGGGTGCTCTCTGGAAGATCTGACTGGGAATACTGGTTTCTGGGGAGGCAGGCAGGTCCATCCCTTTCTCTCCTGCACATTTATCGCTCTCAAGGATTCCACCTCCTCACTAGCAGCCTCTGCCACAGACTCTGAGACACTTTCTCCTCACAAATGATGCTCAGGCCAGATAGAAACTCTGAAGTACATCTGTGAGGCCCAAACTACAAAGGAAATTCTCAGCCCGGAAACTGCACAGATGCTGTGTGGGTGCTGTAGTGTGACTGTGTGTATGTGCGTGTGCACACTGTAGTGAGACTCGAGGACAAGCTCGGAGTCAGAAGTCCCTCTGTCCCACTTCAAGCGCCACCTGTGCTTTTCTGATAAGCTTTTGAAGACAATGATCTTACGAACAATGAGAAAACCAATGTCTCTCTGACAGCAGGATGAAAAACCTCATTCTGATTCCTGGTGAACAAGACTCCCCCACCCTTCAATTAAAATGAGTTTCAGACCCAAGACTTTATCTCTAAAAAGAGCTTTTAGGACCTAAAGGATTAAACTAAACTGCTTCTTTGCCTAGGCAAGACTACCTGGCCTTGTTTCAACAATACCAAAAAATCAGCCCCACCAGGCCAGTGCTTGCCTGAGGTTGGCCACATTACAGCTACTATCTGGAAGCCCTGAGAAGACAGGCTGGTGGGCAGGAGATGATCCAGGTCAGAGCTACCAGCCCGCACTCACTTGAGCATCCCACGGTGTTCCGCGTGCCACACCTGGATCCGGTCCTCCCACTGATCCCTTGTGAGCTTGTGCTGGTCCATGACTCTGGATTGCAAGAGGACACAATATTGTCACCTTCAAGAGCTCTGAGATGTGAGCCATGGGCTATTTCCCACCCACATTCACACCCTGACATCCCTTCAAATACAACCAACTTTGTGTTTCTACTTTCTAATGGGTAATATTTTTACTTTTGTTTATCTTTATGTATTTGGCACAGGACCTACAGGGTCTCACTACACAGATCGGACTCATAGTGATCTTGTTTTCAGCCTCGCAAGTGCTGGGATTACAGGCATGTGCCATCACATCCAGTCTAGTATTTTTATTTTTGAGGATTACTTGAAGACTTTGCCATCTGAACTAGACAAACCCAGCCCCCCTGGAACAATGTTAAAAGGTATTTCACAAGACTTTTTCTTCCAAAGCTTTTATGACCATTAATGAATAAAAGCAAACTGCATAGGCCAGATACGATATGCATGAACAGGACAGGATACAGAAGCCTGACAAGGACTCCTAGGTGACAGGCTGCCTGCCAGATTCCAGGAGGAAGGCAATGTGACAACCCTGCCTGTGTCTGGGTTAATCATCAATGCCTTTGAAAACTGCTGGCTCTGTACATTCTGACATTCGGTGTACTTAGGTGTACTTGACCTCCTCCATTTACCACTTCCTCCTCCCAAGGCGTCCACCACACACCAGGCCCCAGGCACCTTCTGCTCACCTCTGTGGGATCAGCCGCTCAGAGCTGAGGTACCCAGACTTGTGCGCCTCCTTGTTGTAGTCTCCGAACTTGGCCTGCACGGCATAGGACCCCAGGAGCACAGCTGTCTCAGGGGGACAGTAGATCTCATCACTAAGAATGCCCTCCTTCACCTGGAGAAAGAACAGCTTCTGCGTGATGTCCTGGATGAGCTCCTCAGACACGTCTTCAGGGTAGAACTTGGCCCGGAACTTGAATTGGAGGGGGTTCTCCTTCCTGACCTCCTGGGCAGACACCTGGACAACAAAGCCAGCTCTCATTACGTGCTTGGTACATTCCATTTCCAGTCACCATGCCAAAACTGGGCTGCCAACCAACACTCCAGAAGGGCCTGCTCTCAGAAGGCAGTATGTTATGAGGTTATCTTTTTAGCATGTGAGACAAAAAAGCCCAGCTGAAACCTAAGTCACTGACCTGCCACACTGCCTGCCCTAGCTCTCAATTCTAGGAGGGTGCTATTAATCCCAGGGAGCTGATCTGGAAATGACCCAGTCCCCCAGCCCCTGCGATCTGCAGCCTTGGAGTGTGTCCCATGTGCCTCACAGCCTGAACACTTCCTCTACTATCACCCCCAATTGTTACAGTGATGTGGCAGGTGTAGGGTGCTGACAGAAAATTTTTCAGAGTTTGAATAAAGTGCATTCAGTTAATGGCCTCCCTTCAGAATTGTTAATGGAATTACCCAATCTTTAGAGTTGGAAGATAATCTATCATAGGCTTAAACAAAGCAGTAACAGGTTCTTACAACACAGAGGGTGATTCATAGTTTCTAAGATTAACAATCTCACTGGGGGTGGGGGAGAACCCTAATGTTTCAACCATCTTTTGCTCCAGTGAGGCGGGGTGAAGAATGCCCGGATTTAATCCCCAGCCTGTATCTCCATTTACTGGAAGTCTGCAGTCTTTTTTGTCTGTGAAAAACTTTCTACACCAATAGGAACAACAACAAAGAGTTTCAAGAGTTAAACTGGCTTTAACAGCAGTGAAGTAGACCAACGCTCAGTTAATAACCTATAAATGGTTAACTTTGACTTACCTTTTTATCAAGTTTCAACCAGGTAGGAAATCCTTTATTGTCCACATACTGGAGGCCAAAGTACCACACTTCCCGGAGGCCAATAGTCTTAACCACCTGCAAGAAGGAGAGAGGGTGAGGCCCAGTCATGAGAATCTCCCTCAACAGGCGACGACGGCTCCTGGCAGTCACCCACCACACGTCCCATAGTCCCGAAGAGACTGTGACGGCTGTCTCGTCAGTTGAAAGCCCACTGGCAGTTCCTACTCTCTACAAGTAACCTTTTACTGACAGACCATTAAACCATTTTAATAGAAATTCTAGACTCGGGGTTATCTTTGAATCTTAGAAACTCTTCTACTTCTTTGCACTGTAAGACACTTTCCTGAGTAAAATCAAGTGAGCAGAGGCCAGCAAGTTGTGTCCAGGTGTACTGTCACCCCAGGTGCGCAGGGGGAAAGTGGCTGGGAGAACTGGCACACCACTTGGGCCTCCTCTCTGGTGGAGAAATCTGAGAGAGGCAATCAGGAGTCCTCAGACAGCAGGAAGCAGGTAGCGCGTCTTTGGGTGGGAAAAGTTCAGCAGTTGGGGGATACTTGCCTGTACAGATGCCAAGCAGTGACTGGCATTCTTTAAACCCCAAGAAATGTGAAATTCTGATACAGCTAAGGCAATTCCCCGACCCAAGGAATTCGCATGTAAAATTCACATGAGAAGAAAAGTCTTCCGGTGTATCTCAGCAGGTGCCCCATGCAGCCTAGTCTCACAAGTACGTTCAAGACAGAAAGGCAGTGACATACGGTTTTTAATCACACACTTAAGTTTTTTTAAACATTACCATTTTCCATTATGGCTTCCATGATATTTAAGGAGAAAGACGACCAAAGCCTCAAACTACGTGTAGAGCACTTGCTGAAACTAAAGCCTGAAATTTCAAGGGAACACCTGGTCTCCCTCCGCTCATTTCCTCATTCACTAGGAGGCCAAATGCAGGCTAATGAGAAGCCTCAGTAGACTGGCTGAGGAGCTGGGGTGGATTCCAGGGCCTACCACATGAGGCCACCACCCTGCCAATGAGCGACACCCAGCCCAGCATCTGCATTAAATGCCAAGACTGGCCTACTCACGTTCTCCTTACCCACCCCAAAGAGGATAAACTACCCCCAAGATTCTTCACTGTGGGATGCTGTGAAGGACACTGGGGCTCTTCCAAAGCACCCTGTTGCCCGGTCTTTGCGAAGCCCTGCACTTCCTGTGGTTAGGGCAGCTGAGGGCACACCCGACAGACCAGGTCTCCATAACGACATGCTGGCCTCCTGGGCCCTGCCACCTCATCCAGCTCTTCCATTTCACAATACAGCCACGGCTGACCTGGGGAGGCTGGGAAGTCCTTCCTGCACATCTGGCTGCCCTCTCCATCACACAGGCTTGTGCTGGCTGCCAGGGCCACTGCTCAGTTCTCTCCTGCATCTGCTACAGCAAATCACAGGGTCTGGAGCCACTTGTGTGACCACCAAGCCAAGACCCCACCCTCTCAGTGGAAACTCACCTCAGCTGTGCTGACCTAGTGCACATCTTTGCTGTAGGAATCTCCCATTTCTTGGTGTCTTTGTTCCAATGCCCTACTTCAGGGTGACATGGCATCCCCAAGATGGCCCAGGAGAATTAACCTTTTGCTCAAGACATTCCAAACACCATTCCCTAGTTCCTTCATATGAGAGGATCCCTTATTCCTAGAAAGTGCTCCTCAAGGGCCTTCGATTTACTTCCCACTGACACCCTGATACCAAGGAGCACCCCAACAGCAGTACTCCTCCCCCAGGGTTCAGATGGCAGATTTCAGAAGGAAAAATCAGGGCTGTGTCTGCTTCACTTGGCCTCAGGCAACAGCTGGAATCCTCCTGGTCCCCCCAGCATCCTGAGGCCATTCAGTCCCAGCTCTGTGCCCCGCCTGCCCACTCCACCGCTGCAGGCCCCACAATGTTCTCCAGCAAACCAGAGCCTTGGCACTGGAGCTGTGACAGACAGCAACACACTGCTGTAAGGAGACTTGAGGACAGATGGGTGGGGAAGAGGCACTGCCAGCCTACAGTGTCTTTCCACCTGCCTGTATCCAGCAAGGCTGGCCCATGAAGCAGCTTCCCAGCAGGCATTTCTCTGGACCTACAGCCTAGTTTTTCTCCTGATTCTAGTTTAGGTCTCTGCTTTTAAAAATTTTTGTTTGAGCCCTCGCCATTCAGTCACAGTGACTATGATACCTGGGTGGGTGAACAAGGGGTATGCTGGCTAGAGGCAAAGCCAACACTGGAGGCCAGCGCGTTGCCCACGCTTGGGCACAGCACGCAAGGCTTGGCTGGCTCCATGCAGCTCCCGCTGGGATGTCTCAGGAGAAAGCTTTAGTTTAACCCTCAATCCAGTCTTACCCAGACCCACAACTGGGTGATGCAGGCTCATGGAACCACCTCAAAACAACAGCAACACAGCAGTAACAATATGTGGTGTCTAGACTCCCGCCCAGCCCTGCAGGACCAGCCTGCTCAAATCCTGGCACCACTGCCAGGTGCGGAGCCACTCGTACCACCAGGACAGAGAGCAATAACGCCTGGGTGGTGCCACCCAGATTCTTTAAATATAAGAAAAGCCACCTCCCTGGGCTTCCCTAGTCACTAGCCCCTCATTTGCAGGTTTGGTACCAGTGGGGCCTCTCTGGAAAGTGGGCTCCGGTCCAAGTGCCTTGTAACTCACCTCTGGCCCTGTACTCCCTGGGACTCTTGCCCTCGTGTGGCATTGAGCCAGGCAAAGGAGACCCTGTTCTCTAAAGCCTGGGACAGTTTCCTGCATTCACAGTGGCCCCCTCTCTCTCTTTGGTTTCTGGGGAGGTACAGGGATGTGAAACACCCAGGCCACCTTCTCCAGGACAGCCTCTGCCCACCCAAGGGTGCTCACCACAGGCCTGCCAGTGATCCACATACCACAATGCTTCTCAGATGTGTCCCTCACCATCAGAGCCCACTGAGCCCAAGAAGATGGGCAGGGGAGCAAGTAGGAGACAGGGAGGGAGGAGTGTGTTTTCCATAAAGTACCATCTATTTCCATCATTTAAAACATGCTTTAAAAACTTCTTAACAAAAAGACCATTCTGGCCTGGTGAACTGTTAAGAAACAACAAAAGACACAGTGGAGAAAGAAACCAGAGGGACCACAGAGCCTGGTCATCTGGAGCTGGTCTCAGGTGTCTGAAGTCCTTACCATGTCGATGTCATGGTGCTCACATTAGCAAGGCTGGCTTCATCTCAGTCACAAAAGGGTTTTAAAATAAAGCAGGACAGCAGCCAGGTGAGGTTAAAGCAGGAGAATCACTGCAGATTCAAGGCCAGCCCGGACTACATAGTGAGTTCAAGGCCAGTCTGGACTACAGAGTGAGACCGTGTCTCATAAAACCAAAAATTAAATAAATTCATTTAATCAATTAAGCAAGCAAGCAAGCAAGCAGGAAAGCTAGCCTCTGCCATTTGTGCAGCCCAGAATAATATATTTCTTTTAATGAATTGGGGGTGACCACATAAAAATTCAATGTTGTTATATAGTTTTACTGGAAGACAGCCATGCTCTTCATTCCTGAGTTCACGGCTGCTTTCAACACTACAATGGCCAGGCTTAACACTTATGGCAGAGCGTATGTGGCCGGCATGCCAAAAATATTTGCTATCCAGCCATTTGTAGAAAGTGTGCTGACCTGTAACATAAATCTCTAAAACGATGCCAAATAATGGTTATCCGTCCACTTTCGGGAAAATGCTGAACCACTAAGATAAGACTATATCTGCAGTAGCTGTTACTAGGATAAAAACAAATATAAATAAAATCACCAGTAAATATTTTACAGAAATCTCCTGACTTAAGGTGTTTTTGTAACAGTATCAGGAGATGGTAAAAGAGCTGTAGAGCCTCTTCATCTGTTACCTTGAGTGAACAAATCAAGGTAATTCATGCAACAACATGATTTGGATGCTGTGAACATTGCGTTCTAAAGAGTAATTCTCTCTCACGGTTAGAAACCAACCTGATCGAAGAGCTGCTTTCCGGTGGTATTTGGCTGGATGGCAAACTCCAGCTCCGCATCCATGGTGGTGACCCGGACATTGATCTGAAACAGAGCAACACACACACACTTAACAGAGGGTTCTCTTCTCTTGGTGCTCTCCTGAGCTTTCTATAGAACTCAAAGCCGCTTGGCAGTGTGACAATGGCATAGTCTATGTTCTCTGTCTCCACACTAGTCACAAACCACACCACACGCCCTGACTGTGGGCAGCTGAGTCCGTGGCCTCAGCAAGTGCTCCCTCAGGCTGGGCTCACACGGATGGGTTCTCCACGTTAGTAAAGCGCAGGCCCGCTTCCAGCCAAGTGGCATTTCTGGAAACTACTGTGAAACTTTCTATTTTTCCACGCAGCCACTCATGGCCCCCAGTGAGGCGGGCAGCAAGTGCAGGGAGGAGAGGTCAAGTGCCACAAGGTTTGGGCACCGTGAGAAAACCCCCGAATGCTGAAGTGGTAAAACGACTAGAGACACAGCACAGAGGACACAACACCACGCAAAAATGGTGATAATGTCAACAGCAGAAATAGCTAAAACTGTATAGAATAACAAAAGTGACAAGCACATGGCACCTACTCTATCCAGCTAATATCAAGACCTAGAGTTTGGCAAATGAGCAAAGTGAAATGGTAGCATCAGAGTGATGAAATCAAAGGGAACCGAGGTGGTCCAGGTGGCGAGAGGACCTTAGAAATATTTTTAATGTGGTCACGCAGTTGTTTAAAAGGAAGAAAAGAAAACTGACAACGCAGTTTTCACATTTCTCACTCTAGCAAACCCTGTTTACTAAGGCACACAACAGGTGTAATAAGACAGCATGTCTGGGACCACAGCGGGCTTGGCATCCCATCACAGCGCATACATGGGGATATGCTGCTTCCTGCGTGAGGGACACTGGGGATTGAATCCAAGGCCTTTATATTGAGTTACATCCCAATGTTTGGGTTTTGTTTTGTTTTTACTTTTTGTTTTGTTAATTTTGAGATAGTGTCTGATTAAGTTGTTTGTGCTAGGCTTAAACTTGGGATAGTCCTGCCTCAGCCTCCCAGTGTGCAAGGATTACAGATGTGTGTCACCGTGCCTGGCCAGAGTTAGTCTTTATGAAGCATTCTCCCTCTATTAATAACATAAAAGATCTTAATAAGTAAAAGCTATACTCTGACGTGTATCCATCACCCTTTAAAGTCTGGCTGATAGGGGCTGGAGAGATGGCTCAGTGGTCTAAAGCACCTACTTAGAACAAGCTTACCTAAAGCATCAGGGACCGCGGTTCAATCCCCCAGC